GGCTATAAAGACTTTTGGAAAATCTTCAACAGCATTATTAACAAGGGTAGATCTAACATTCTATCTCTCATTCATGGGACTGATCTTATTACCTCTCCCAAGGATAAGGCAGAACTATTTGCAAAGAACTTTTCTTCTAATTCCACTCTTGAATCTTATGGACACTCTCTTCCTTCCTATCCAGTCAAACAGGTTGACCCATTGTTAGACATTCAAATCACTCCAGCTTCTGTTGCTAAAGTCATATCTCAATTAAACTCGTCTACAGCTTGTGGTCCAGACAACATTCCTGTCACAGTCTTGCAGAGTTGTTCTCCAGAACTTTCTTCAATTCTCTCTAAACTATTTAACAAGTGTTTGACTGAGTCTTGTTTTCCTACTTGTTGGAAAATGGCATCTGTGGTTCCAATATTCAAAAACTCTGGAGAAAATTCTAACCCCTCCAATTATCGTCCGATCAGTCTTCTTTCTGTTATTAGCAAGGTCTTTGAGTCTTTGATCAACAAATTCCTCACATCTCATCTTGAGTCAAATAAACTTCTGTCAGACAATCAATATGGTTTTCAATCCTCTCGCTCTTCGGCCGACTTGCTAACAGCTGTAACTGAAAGATTTTATCGTGCATTAGATGGAGGCGGTGAGGCTAGGGCTATTGCTCTTGACATATCTAAAGCCTTCGACAAAGTTTGGCATGCTGGTCTTCTCCATAAGCTTGCTTCATATGGTGTTTCTGGGAAAGTTTTTGAGATTATCAAATCATTTCTTTCTAACCGGTTTATAAAAGTCATCCTTGAAGGCCAACACTCTTCTTTATTTCCAGTAACTTCTTGGGTTCCCCAAGGTTCCATCCTGGGCCCTGTTTTATTTCTTATCTACATAAACGACCTTCCTGACAACCTTTCATCTAAAGTAGCTCTTTTTGCTGATGACTCAACTTTATACTCCTGTCTTGACAAAAAGTCTTCTCTTTTCAATCGCTTAGAACAAGCAGCTGATCTTGAATCCGATCTCACTTCAGTAATAGATTGGGGCTCACAGTGGCTTGTGAATTTCAACTCTAAAAAAACCCAGTTGCTTACTGCAAACAACTACTGTAACATGGTCAACATTCCTATATTAATGAATGGCAATCCTCTTACTGAGTCCTCCTCTTTACGTCTTCTTGGATTATCGCTTACTACTGACCTTTCATGGAAACCATATATACAATCGATTGCTAAATTAGCTTCTGCTAAGTTTGCTTCTCTTTATCGTGCTTGCCATTTCCTTACTTCTGATTCCATTCTCTACCTCTACAAATCTCTTATTCGTCCCTGTACGGAATTCTGTTGTCATGTTTGGGCTGGTTCTTCTAACGATTCACTTTCTCTTCTTGACAAGGTCCAAAAACGCATTGTAAATGCTGTTGGACCTGGACTATCTGCTAAGCTTGAACCTCTTTCCCATCGTCGTAAAGTTGCATCTCTTTCTATTTTCTACAAATACTAATATCATGGTCACTGCTCAAAGGAGTTATCATCTCTAGTTCCATCAACTAAAATTCGTTCTCGTTTTACTCGTCATTTAGCTAAGTCTCATTCGTTTACTGTATCTGTCCCTGCATGCTCTAAAAACTTTTATTCATCTAGTTTTTTTTCCCCACACTTCAATCCTTTGGAACTCTCTCCCATCTTCATGTTTTGCTGACTCATACAACCTTCAACTTTTCAAGTCTTCTGTCAACCGTTTCCTTGCTCTATAACTCTGTTCTTTTTTTTTACTAGTAACTCCTAACTTAATAGTGGTTGCTTGCAGCCTTGTTGGGAGTGAATTAGGTCAATTAGGTCTATAGTAAACCTAAGTTTACCTCTTATTACTGGCAAATCTATTAAAACTGATAAATCTATTAAAAGGAAAGTTAAAGATCTTGTACTTCTTAAGGATATTAATTGCAAGCACATAAAATTAGCGCTAAAAGAAATCTTGAAGCAAACTTGGACAAACTTTTTGAGTTCATTAGACGTGTTTCCCTGTAGTGACAGGGAAACACGTCTAATGATCAGTAACAGAATTATTAAAATTTCCATGTAATAAGGAAAATTGCATCGAAGAACATATTGCTTTTGCTCTAAAAGTAATAAAAATAATAAGTAATAATGAAGACAGAGTTTATCTTCGTAATTAGAGGGAAAAAATCAGTCCAAAGGTACATATCAACTTTCTTCTGTTGATAGATTATCTGTCAAAAAGATTCAAAAACTTGATAAAGTATGACAAAAAATATCTCATAAGCTAGTTGATGAAAATGAATTCCTCACACCACACATAAACTTAATGGTTAAGTTAATGAAACAAGTCCAATACAAAGGTAAATATTTTATACATTATATTTACCTTTACATTAAATATTTGCAGTAGATGGAACAGAAAGCAATTTACTTGATCAACTTTTGTTAGGATGAAGTTGAATGGAAACCAATAAATAATCCTATTAGAAAATACAACTTGGTAAAACTTCCAAGATTTGCAATGGAACTAGTCAGAAACGAGTGTTCGTAAAACATAGGTGCAGCCCTCGCAATGCTTTACTACATGACATTAAACATCTCCTGAAAAATGGTGTAAATATATAAAAGATATTTTGATTAACAAACGCAAATTAGATAGGGCTAAGTCAAAAGTAAAAATTGTAAGTGAAGATGTGAACAAAAAAAAAAAACAGTTAATTTGTCTTGGGGTTGATAGCAAACTCAATCAGATAACTAAAACAAGTAAAATAATAAACTCAACTCAAAGAGAAGTACTAAAGAAATGTATTGAACCTGAACATCACCTCACATTTACTTATGAAGATGGAAAATTGAGAGGAAATTATTTTACTCATTGGACTATTCTTGTTTCTTGTGCTACAGGCTTAGTTCTCGCTAACGAAATGTTCAGTATTTTACAAGAACATAACAGTTTGAAGCTGTTCTTCTTAAGAATTCTGCTATTATCACTGGACCAATAAGTGGCTTAGTGGTAAAACTAAAAGAATTTAAAAAAGGAAAACTAAACCTAATTGGATGCGCCTTACATCAAAATGGATTTCTGTTACGAGCTCTTATTATAAAACTTGATGGTAACACACCCAGGCCAAGAAGCTTTAGTGGTCTATTCAGAAAAAGATATGCTGAAAATATTCAGGATAGAAATCAAGTTTTATTTGAACGTATTGAAAACCTGATTATAGATAGATATATTTCAGAAGAAATACTAATAGACCTTAGTTGTGATCAAAGAATTTTATTTGAATATTGCAAAAGAATAGGCTTTGGTAAAGTTTCTGATAAATGAGCCGCCTATAAAATTGGACAGCTTAACCATGCAAAATGGTTAACTCTAATTATTTGTCTTCTCTGTTTGTATGCTAAAGCCAATCACACAACCGTTTCTTCTAATGCATGTTTCGAAATAAAAAAATCTTAAAAATTTCACGAACCCCCGAGCCTTATTATTTTATACTATTACTGGGCCATTGTGCCTGAGACCTAATAATATTCTCTATGCCATGTTAAAAGGTAATGACAGCAAGATACGAAACTTTTGTTTTCAAATCATACTGGCTCTAAGGCAAAGGTATTTTTTATAGTTAACTAAAATTATGTTTTGAAAAAAAATTATACATTAAATGTGGTAATTGGCTTTGGTTTATATTTATAGAGTAAACAATGAAAGTTTGAACATAAATTTGAAGAAAATTATGGAAATAATTTTAATGCTAATCATTGGTATGAGTTGGTTGACATCAGCAATGACAACATTTTTCAGTTGAGCAGATCCAATATACTATTGACAATAATGTTAAACCTGAAATTCCCGATTTTCCATCTCACTACCAGAGTGTTGAGCAAGCGGTAAAACATATATATAAATATATATATATATATATATATATATATATATATATATATATATATATATATACAAAAAATAAAAAATATATAAAAGAAACTTATTAAAAATGTACTAAAAAGTAAAAAATAAACTAATTTACAGGACCCAAGGACTTTGTGTACATACACAACCAGAAATATCCATTAAAGTCAATGACTGAAAATATTGGGCACCAATAGGAACGAGTTGTAATTAGTTGCAGTAGTGGTGTAGTGGTAAAGTGCTCGCTTTAAAAGCGAGAGGTTCCGTGTTTGATTCCCATTACGCTCCTGGCAGTATTGCTCAACTTGTTTCTCCACGCAACGGCCTAGTTCATCAAGGTTCGTGTTTCGAAGTTACAGAGTTGAGAGAGTGTTATAACCACAATTAAGTAGCCTCCTCATCTGTAGTGGCCTTCTCGGCCTTGGGGAGGTGAATAACAAATAAAATAAAATAAAAAGTAGCCCAACAATCTGTGTATGTACACTAAGTCCTGTGAAATAGTTTGTTTTTAACTTTTTAGTCTATTTTTAAAATGTTGTTTTTAAAAAAATATATATATATTTTTTAGTCCATTTTAAAATGTTGTTTTTAAAAAGTTTTTTGATATATTCTTTTTTATTATTCAACAGAGATTCTATATACTTATGCTAAACTAAAACTTTAAAAGTTTGTTGTTTGTTGTGATTACTTTTCTTAACCATTTCTTTTATTTACGCTAAACTAATGCCTGTTTTGCATTGTTTGTTTTTATTACTTTTTTAAAGGACTTCTTTTATTATTACTTTTATTATGTTTGTTTTGCGTGGACACTAAAAAAATAATAAATAAACCAACAAGAAAGCAAGTTAAATAAAATGTTATAAAAAAACACTGTTAATATTGCTTCAACTAGTAGCAAATCTTAAACCTTGATTGTATTGTTGTAAAGTTGTTCATTTATATAGTTTTATACAATTAAAAGCGATTTTTTTTATTTTTTATATCTATGTATTCCCTAATCATTTACTTGTTAAAATTTGCCAGTGGTTGCAGGTAGCTTGTTAAAAAATTTTAAATATATACAATTTAAAAAATAAAAATTGTATCTTTTAAAGTATACTTACTTGGTCAGGAGGAAAATTGAATAATAATTGAACAATTTGATTATGAAAATATTCTTCGAACAAAATTCTAGCCGAACATACACAGTCCTCAAATCCATTTGGTTTCTTTTTTATTGATTTTATAAGTGTTTCAAGTGTTTCCAGCTAAAAGTAAAAACAATATAATATTTAAGTAACAATGTCTTCCATTATGATTGCAATTTACATATATTATTATAACAATATCAAAACTAATCTTTTAATATTGAACAAATGAATTGTTTTAATTATATTAAATATTTTTCTTTTTTTCTTTTTTTGGTTGATTTAAACTTGAATAATATATAATTTAATAGATCATTATTTTAAAACACCTAATTAAAAAAATTAACCAAAAAAGAAATATTCAAAGACGAATATCAAAATTTTCTTTTTTTGTCACAACATAACAATACAATCTATTTTAGCAAAAAACAGCAACAACAGAATTTCATTGGTATGTTGTTACGCTTTTGGTTGCCTTAATGAGTACTTTTGAAAAAAAAAAATATTTTTTCAAACTATATTTTTTTAACCATAACAGATCTCTTTAGCATAAGTATTAACTTGCAGCAATATCAAAATAATCATTAGTGAAAGAACCAATAATATGTTTTTATTAAAAGCCATTTTCAAACTTAATTTAAAACAACAGTTCTTACAAATATAAAACTCTGATATTTTCATTAATATTTAAAGAACTCTTGGTCAAAGTTGTTGAAATAAAAAGATTAGTGATGCATAAAAAATTAGTCAACACTGATTATTATTTCTAAATCATTATTTTTAAAAAGACGTGTGAATAGAAATTAGGTGTTCCAGTTCTTTCTTACACTCTCTTTTTCTCCCACTCAGTCTAATAAAGCATTAAAAGTAAAAATATTATATTTTTATAACATGTATTAAACTATTGCTTATAATAAACCTTATAAAAATCATACCAACTGCATTCCTTGAAGCTTTAAAGTTCTTTCCATAAACTTAGGATCACTATAAAACAATTTTAAATTAAAGTTCTTTCCATAAACTTAAGATATAAAACAATTTTAAATTTAAAGTTAAATATAAACATTTTTTTTCCTCACATAATTCAATAGAAAAGATGCTGAAACATTTTAAATTTAAAAATTATTAAAATTTATTAAAATATTCAAAAATCTTTAATGCAAAAAATCTAAAAATACTCATCTTACTTGATATACTGATTTACTGTCTCTGCAGGCTGGGCAAATAAACCTTCAAAAGAATCACGTGCCCACTAAAACAAGGGAAAATATTATCATGCATAAGCATTCAATGCATATATACAAATATAAAAGCAAAGTTAGTTTAATATGTTACATCATACTGATTTAGAGAGCTGTGAGGGATTAAGTGCATACATTGAGTGATAAAGAGAGAACATGCTAATATTTTACTGCTACATCAGCATAGGGTTTTAGTTAAGGAGTTGAGGCAGCAATAAGATTTTTTATTGTTCTCCTTTTTTAATTTTTTTTTTTTTTGTTGAAAAAATCATATGGAATTAGGTTGGCAAAATAGGTCAATAAATGTATATCTATATATGCTATAGTATAAATGTATATGGGTATTTCCATTTTTAACTTATATTGAACTCATTCCTGAGTGATTTTTCATCAACATTTATGAAAGTTATCAAATTGATAACAGTTTTTTCCCAAGAGCAACTTTAAAAAATTATTTTAGTATGACAACTTCATTGATACCTGTTTGAGTCATTTGAAAAAAAATTCCAATTCAAATTACATGTTTTTGAGGTAAGTATAAACACATACATTGTGAGGCAACTTTTTGCAATACATCAAATGTTTATGGGTCATAGTTCACAAAACCTGCTCAATTCAATTTGATATCCTATATTAATATCCTAATAGTCGTGTTTAAAAAGCTGGTACGCTTCTTTCAGGTGTAAAAAAAGATGACAAACTTGGAGCTTAATCTTCTTTTCATTTCAATTACTTAGATGAAGTCAGTAACATTAGGAGACAGTCAACTAATGCTGTATTGGGAGTAAAACTTTTTGACTATTATTTCTACTTAAATCAAAGCCAAATTATTCATGTCATTTAATGAGAGTAGTTGAACAACTCATTCAGCAATGTGACTAAGACTTAGTTATGTTTTGCAGGAAGCAATGTTTTTTAGACTTTCTTGAGTAATTTTCCTATTGATCGAACATTTGGGAAGAAAAAAACGTTCAGTTTTTGCAGAAATTATCTTTTTGAATCTATACTTTCGGACTCTTTTCTTTAATTTTTATCTTGAAATATTGGGATATCAGGAAGAGTATGATGAGATTTAAGAAATAAATTAGAGAAAAACCAAATATAAGTTTGTAGCAAACAGGGCTCAAATTAAGTGATTGGGAATTAGGATATTTGAAAATGCTTCCAGTCTTCAAATTGTTAGCTTTTTAAAAACGGTAAAGTCTGATTTGATCACTAAACTTAATAGCTGTTATTCAATAAAAAATATTTATATTGATTTTGAATTATGATACAAAATCTCATTATAAAACCATACTATTGTTATTATTCTATAATGTTTTAATTCATTTTAAAAATCATCAGAGAGGGCCGACGATAACAGGGGAGGATGCCCTCCCATTTTTTTTAAAAGGATCTTTTTTTCTTTTTTTTTTTTTTTTTAAATTTTAGTTATAGAGGACTTTTTTTAAAACTTGACAATTGTGCCCCTCCATTTCAAAAACCATGTTGTTGGCTCTGCCAGATAAAACTAGAAAAATAAAGCACAAAAAAGTATGATATAATTATTAAAAAACAATCCTTTATCATGACAGTCAAAAGGAATTTAGCGGTGATCAAACATTTTTAAAAAAAGAAATTATGAAGATAAGATAAAAAATACTTTTATATCTTATTTAAATCTTATTCAATATTTTAATTATAAATTTAAATATAAATTAAACGCTCGAAGCTCTTTAGCAGATATGTATACATAAATTCAAGAAAGAGGAGTTTAAAAATATATAAAAACTAATTGAAACTTTTTAAATTTAAAACAAAACAAAAAAAAACTCTAATGACTTACTTTTAAATATATCTTATTATTATTTTTATTATCAATTAATTAGTTTCTAATTTAAAACATTAAAATTTTTTTTTATATATAACTTTATTTATTTATTTATAATTCTTAAATGTCCTGGTGTTTGAAAAAACAATTAAAAAAAATGAAAGTGACTATTTCTGCAGTAGCAGAACTACTCAAGAGACGCGAGCGGTCACATGTCTTGAATGACCACACATATATATATACATTATATATATATATATATATATATATATATATATATATATACACATTATATATATATATATACATTATATATATATATATATATATATATATATATATATATATATATATATATATATATATATATATATATATATATATATATATATATATATATATATATATATATATATATATATGTATATGTATATGTATATGTATATGTATATGTATATGTATATGTATATGTATATGTATATATATATATATATATATATATATATGTATATGTATATGTATATGTATATGTATATGTATATGTATATGTATATATATATATATATATATATATATATATGTGTGTGTATATATATATATATATATATATATATATATATATATATATATATATATATTTTTGACAACTTGGCCACGATTTTTTGCATATATTAAAAATGAAACATTTTTAAAAAGTGGTGAAAAAACCAAACTAATTTTGCTTATTATTATATTTTTTTATTAATAACTTATTATTGTAATTTTTTATGAGAAAATAAAAACATAACAATAATATACATATATGTATATATTTTTAAATTTGTTTTTTTTTAATTTGTTTTCATGCATTCAATAAAATTTTGGCATTTTTGTTAAGTTTTTGTTTACAAAATGAATTACGTCATTAAGTAACTGTTATTTCGCCGCGTTGGTTTGACATGGTTTTAACTGAAACTTTTTTTATAAGGAGAATTAAAAAAAAATCTTATTTTTTTTATGTGTATTAAAATTATTTATATTGTTTTTTTATTTGTTGTATGTATTCTTATTTTGGTTGACATATAAATGTAAATAAATAAATAAAAATAAGAATTATATAAATACTTTTATTTAGACATTAAAAAAAAAAAAAGATTTGATTGCCTTTCTCCTAATATTAAAAAAATCAGTTAGAACCCTTTATATTTTGTTTTAGTAAAACAAACCGTTTGTTTGCGGGGTCATCCATAAACAGGTCACCCTATATTTGTCAATTCTTAACCCTTTCCCTCATGTCACAAACAATCACATATACCCCTCATGTATGTTATAAAAAATCACTCAGAAAGACTGCTACCAGTTTTTAAAAATTTCCTTTGTTAATTATTTTTAATGAATGAGTTCAATACTTTTGCAATTCTTTTGTTACATAACTCTAACTGTTATTATTAGATCACGATCGATAATGTAAGTGATGTAACGTAAGTAAAATATACAGTATCAAAAAAAGTTTATTTTCCTTTGCCGGTCAACTCTAATAGATTTTTATATATTTTTTAAATTGGTATAGAATTCTCAACATGTTGCAATATGTTGAGAATTCTATACCAATTTAAAAAATATCTAAAAACCTATTAAAAAAAGGTAAAAAAAAATTGCATTAACTTTTAGGTCTGATTTCTGTGAATCAGTAAAGCAGTTTGTATGAAAAATGTTTACAAGCTTGTAAACATTTTTCATACCAACTGCTTTACTGATTCGCAGAAATCAGACCTAAAAGTTGAAGCAATTTTTTTACCTTTTTTCGTGTAACATAAGTTTAAGTGGCATTTTTACCAATAAGTTTGCACTTTTTTGTCCAGACCCAAAACTTTTTAGCTTATTTTATTCATAAGACTAACAGCTTTCATACAAAACAGCTAAAAGTTTAATTTAAAGTTTAAATAAGCAAATATTTGATAAAGATGTTGTGCGTCTAATGTAGGTTAAAAATGGAATTACCCACATTATTTTTTATGTTTTTATTTTCTCATCAATAACTATAATAATAAATTATTAATAAGAAAATAAAATAATATGACAAACTAGTTTGGCTTTTTTGCGTTTTTTAAAATGCGCCATTTTTAAAATATGCAAAAAAATTGTGGCCTAGTTATCAACAAAAAAAATTATGTGTGGTCATTCAAGGCGTGTGACGCCTCACCTGAAAAGGCCTGCAGTAGTAAATTTATTGTGTTTTTTTTTTTAAATTAATTTTTGCAATATGGTAATTGGTCGTTTTATTAAAACACTGTCAATGGTTTTTAATAAACTGAGAATTTAATGACCAGATTTCCAGATATTACAATTCATGATCACTTAATTCGAGCTTTGGTAATTATAAATAAAATTAATACAACTATAAGTATAAATTATACCAATCAAATATACCCAAAACATATTTTACCTGAAGTGTATGTTCAATTGCATTTGGAAAATTTTTTAATGTACATATAGGAATTGATTTTTCAGGAGGATCTTGAGATGAGCTGTAAGATTCAGTTATATCTGGTAAAACAACCTATATTTCAAAATTTAGTAATTTTCAATTATATAGATTAAAAACATGATTTTTAACAAAAAACATTAAAAATAAAGTTTTTGAATTTGACAAGTCTTAAAAATAAACATGATTACAAAAGGTTATTTAAAATATGCAATATTATTACAACATTAAATATTCTTTAAAAATAAAAAATAAAATAAAGCTTTTCTTAATAGTAATTTTTAAAAGCAAAATCATAAAGAATTTGGAAACAGCAAAAAATATTTTTTTACCTGAGTGTTACCTTTTGTACCAAGCGTTCCTGACTCAAGAAGAGGTTTTTTGTAAAACACACATCTCCTGTCCATGTACATTCCTGAAATTTGTAATGCCAACATGATTAACAATATTGCATTAAATTTAATTCAATAAATAATTGTATAAAATAAAAATTTTTTACTTGCGTCAATATTATCAAGTGCATTACAAACACCATCTAACGCCTCAAAAAAGTCATCATTGTAAATATCTGGATAACAATTAAGTTAAATGTTAATCTTTTTTTTTAATTTTTAAAGAATTTTCTTTGACAAACTTTATCACATTATATTGAAACCAGTTAACTCAAAATTGGTAAAACTCTTCTTTGCCTTAAAGAATTTTCTTTGGATTCCTGAACTTTTTTTGATTCATTCCTTTTCTTTCTTTTTTTACTTTTTCCTTCCTAAAAACTATTTACTCAAACCTAATAACTTTTTTTACTGTTTAGTCACAACTACTAAGTAAACCTAACTTAATTATTTAGACTAAAGTAATAGTATTTTAAAATAGAAAAGATACTTTCTGTATCAGGACCCACACGATTTTGATGTGCTATAATGTTAATATCACGATTCATCTCTTTAACAGCTAGTGCTGCAATTTCAGATTTCATTTTCTTAACAAAAAAACATAATACTTGTAAATGAAATTATATCTTTAAAAAAAAAAGTTATAATAACTGGTCATCATATGAATGAAAAAAAACAATGATACCTGGACATCATGAGATCTAAAAAGAAACTGACGATTAAGATTAGACTTCTCAATGAGATCCATATCAGTGACATATACTAATCCTTCGCTACCACATCCAACTCCCATCATAGAAAAGTTTTTTAACATTTCACAACCAATTGCACCAGCCCCTACCTTAAAAAAAAATTATGATAACAATCGCACAAGCCCCTACCTTAAAAAAAATTCATACTTACAACTGCACCAGCTTCTACTATAAAAAAAAAATTCATATTTACAAATGCACCAGCCCCTACCTTGAAAAAAAACTTGTATTTACAATTGCACCAGCAATTAGGCACACAACAATAAGGTTGGTAATTTCAAATGTTCTGTTGGTATTTTTACGCACATACTTTGTTTTTGTTGACGCATAAAACTTTGAAAATAAAAATAAACCAAAAAAAACAGCCAAAAAGTGAAAATGAGTAGTAGAAATAAACCTATTGTTGATCTGGCCATGAATGGCACCATGCCTAAAGACATTTCCAAGATGCTAAACAAGCCTATAAGTACTGTCTACACTGTGATTAAGCATTTTGAAATGACTGATCCTGTTAAGATGAAGCTTGGTATTTGTTAAAAAGGTCAGTTTGAACTCCTCAATTGATCAAGACTATCAAGGGTCAAATTTCTCAAAATCCAGAAAGGCCACACACCTCCTCAAAACAGTGTTTATGTTTCAAAAAAGTGCACACACTCAAGGAATGATTATAGTGTACACAAAAAAGTATTTCACAAAATTTGAAGTGTGTCCTGAAAAAAAAAGATGCTTTTTGTGATTAGACTTATAAGAAAAACTTATAAGGCATAGACTAGTAGCTATTAAGCTAACTCTTTAATAAATACCATTATTTAAAATAACATATATTATATTTCATATCAATAAATTAAAGAACCCTATCAAAATCAATAATAAAATATTTTAGTTTAAACATTTGTTAGCTGATATAGACTGAACATAATAAAGCCTAAAATTCTCTCCACGTTGTATGAAAGTACAACACGTTATAGATCGTTTTTGTATGGTTTCTTTGTGAAAATCACTTGGAAGTTTGTATCTGGAAAACTCACTGAATCTCAAGTAAATAGTTTCTTCTGCTTGTTCACTGTAAATTCCCAGTCTGTATCCATTATTTCTAAAAAAACTCCTTTACATGGCAAAATAATATATGGAGTTTGGTACTCTTTGTTTTGATCTCGAAAGTAATAAAAATATCAAAAAATCATCTATTGCTTTTTCAAAATCCATACTGAATATCTTGCTAAACACGAGTAAGCCACATTATCAAAAACATCAAAGGCATCACAAAATCCTCTAAGATCTTCAGAAAGAGCATCTCTAAGCTTATTTGTTAATCTCATCAATTTCTTACACTGGTTTCCTTCTAACTCTTCACCGTGATGTTTTTGTCTGACAAAGGGATTCCTTTCTAGGAAGATCTCTTGTCCCCATCTTTTTGATAGGTTATTCCACAATAGATTAATTGTTCCTGTTTAGAGATAAAGTATATGGCATACTTCCATAACTTCAGTTTCATCATCTCCTGGCAAAAGTGGTTGATTCTTGCAATTATAAAATTCTTTCAGTGATGAGTCAGAATTACACCCTTGTTTCCAAGATTTTGCTCTCTAATTGATCCAGAGGTTTGTTTATCTCCTCTAGAGTAAAGCCAATCTACACAATCTGTACTCATATTTCAGAAGCAACAAGAATACTTTGAACTATGACTTTGAAACCCTAAAATTAAGTTAAGTAGTTTCAAATCAGCGCAAATTTTAAACTGAATATTTCTAAAGTCAATAATTTTGAAAAAGACAGCACAGTTTTCATAATTCTCCTGAATATTTGGGACTATTCCTAAGAGGAATGTCTGATCAACGGAAGTTTCTTTTTTCAGGTTCGGACAAATGTCCTCAGAATAGTTTGATCTCTTGGTGATATCATCACTAAAGTAACTTACCACATAGTTAGTACCAATTCCAAGCTTAAAGAAACCTCCACCGCCATCAACAAATACTTTCACCTTAACATTAAGCGTCTTGTTTTCTTTTTTCAATCATTTTCCAGGTGAGTTCTTCCACATCTTTAACAAGAACACAGGTCACACAATTAAAGTTTCAGTTATGTGAAATACTTTTTTATTATCACTATAATCATACCTTGCTAGAAAAACTTAACTTGGGGATGTGCACTTTTTTGAAAACATAAACACCATTGTGGGGAGGTGTGGTTAATGAGGAAAATTTTAAAAAGAAAAAGATTTTAAGGTGTCAAAGGAAAAAGAATTGAAAGATCAAAGAAACTTCTGAGCCTCTTGAAGAAGAGACTTATTTTATTAGTTATCAACCATTCCAGGCAGTCCCAGAGCATGTAAAGTATACATTCAAGACTAAACATCCAGCTTCAGTTACAAGGTTTGGCTTGGTTTCATCTGATAGTCCCAAAATACCTCCAGTTTTCATCAAACCTGGGAAGAAAGTCAACACCAATGAGTACATTAAAATCCTGGAGAACCATGTCATACCCTGGATTGATGCCCACTACTCTCCGAACAACAATGTGGTGTTTCAAGAAGATGGAGCACCACCACATATGTCCCATAAGACTCAGAGGTGGTTTCAGGAGAACCTGCCAAAACACTGGTCAATCAACAGTTTGACCTGCTTTTTTTAGCTCTAAGTTTTTATTCTGAATTAATTTTGGTCAAAAAATAATTTTTTTACGAAATTTGCGGTCGCATACAGCATGTTCCCCTTTCAATATCCACTTGTGAGAATTATTAATTTTTTCTATAGTTCTTAAAGAAGGATGTTTAATTTTTAAATAATAAAAAAATTATTATAATAAAAGTGCTTTTTGCTAATGTTTTATTATAAGGTATTTTTAAATATTCTTTTTTTAATGTAAGACATTAAATAAAAATTTAAATGATAAATAATTGTTTTTTGAACACATAAATAATGGAACTTACCACAAAATATTTGCTAGATTTAAGCTTTTGTTGAAAATCTTTACCAAACACAGCAACTTGTGCATCATAACGTGCGTTAGCTGGAGAACAGTTTTCTTCAGTAAGCAATGACTTATCTTCTGGCAGACTTTCCAAACTATCAAAATACAGCCATTGTTTTATTGGCATAAATTTTCCAGAACAAGCCTGAGAAAAAATTTTAAGTATTTTTTTAGTTTCAATTTTAACCTTTAAATTCTGAAGTATGCCTTTTGGCATTCTTGCTAGATCCAAAGAACGCCTTTAGGCATTTTTAAATATTCCTCGAATCAAAATCGAAAGTGCGTTTAATGACTTTTGATTTTAAATAAATGGTCCATTGCAGTCCGAAAAAATAACAACTTCACATGGTTTTATCATAGACTTTGCTTACATTTTCACTTTGAAAAATCAGATAAATTATGACTCACCAATTGACACAATCTCAAGTTAAAAACAGTGAAGAACTTAAAAGTTTATGGATAAAGATTCTAATGAAAAATAATAGATTTCTCATGATTGTGTATATATTTTAGTCTATTTTTCTAACATTGAAAAGTTCAGTTAAACTTAAGATTTGAAAATCAAAAATGTTATTTACACTTCTTATTAACCTTGTTTTATAGACATTATTTATGTATAATTATATGTAAAAATTGCTATGCAACAAAATATGTTATGAGTTATATGTAAAAATTGCATCATGTAATAAAGATATATTTAATTAAGGTATAACACTAGTACTCTAAAGAAATGTATTTTCATGTTCTTAGTGTTAATATATTTTCAAAGCAATAAGATACTCAGTTACTTAAGATACTTACAGTTACAAAGATATTTACTCATAGTTTTGTCATAACTATGAATACAATTTTTTCAAAATATGAAAAAAAAGAAAGAACTATTAAGTATATATACTTTTTAAATATGCTTCTTGGATGTTAAAAAATTTAATTTTACTACTTACATATGCTTCCGCCTTTTTTTGTCTTAAAAAATGTTTATATATTTAAAAAAAAGGCTATATGAAATATTTCATAAAAAACTATTTTATGATAGGTGTCAATCTATTTAAGTCATGTAAATATACTCATTTGCCTTTCAGAAAGACTTTACTTCAAGGTTTAGACATAACGATAACATAACAAAATCTTATTTTTAATATACCTACGATTTTAGCTAAAAATAAATCAAACCTAAAAAAATTGGTTTAAGGTTAATAAAATTACAAATATAAAGAAATTACCTTCATGACTTCTTGTGCAGCCATTCCCCCAATTACTGCTTGCATAGGACATATATCTCCAGCAGCCTGGGATGCAAACTCACTTAATAATTGTTCATCAATCTGTTCTACCTAAAAGTAATTTTGCTTACTTAAAGCAATATTTTTTTGCTATTTATGTGTTTAAACTAATGTTTATTAGTTAATTGAATTGTTAAATGTAATAATACTTACTTTAGCATCTACTTTGTCATTAACTTCCTTTGCAACTTCTAAGAATCTAGATATATCTACCTAAAATGTTAAACAGATACATTAAGAAATATTTTTGTTAAAAAACAAATACTTAGAATAATCAATTATTCAAATAAAAAAACAAATTTGAGAAATTTATAATATTTTTGATTTGTTCAAATAATATATAAACTTTTTCTTTTACCATACTTAGAGAAATAACTTTTTTTTTAATATTTAGCAATGACTATCAAAAGATAATGAATCAAATTAATAAATGTTTATTATCTTTTCACAGAACCTAATCACACTGCAACATGGGCAATGAGAGTTTTAACTAAACAATGGGAGATTCAGATTTCAACTGAACAATATGAATCCTTTATATTATTACTTTCTTGATTTTAAAATATAGAAATTTATTTAATAAAAAAAAAAAATCAAAATAAATTTTTGTTTGTAATTTCATTTAATTTTATGGATATACCTTGTTTTTTGACATGTTTTTTGAAAATGGCAGATCGCACGCAAAATGTATTTCAGGCATTCCTTTAGTAAAATAGTAAAAAAGAAGTACTGACAAAACAAGTATTACTGAAAACCATAGCTTAATTGTGACCCTAACTAGGGCTTCGTTAAGAAGTGCTACGCTGTACACAATTTACAAACAAATAAGTAATTTAACTATGCATTCACAGGCCTTGTTTTAAAGCATTATGCATAGAGCAATTTAGGTACGCCTTGTGATTTTAAATAAGCAGTAAGCGACTTTTGACCATTTTTTAACTTTTAAATTTATTTGATAAAAGAAGTAATTAATTTTAAAAAAACCACATTAACTTTTGAATGACGATTATGTAAAATATTTGTTACAAAAGTTTGAATGATAATTATGTTAAATATAAGCGCTATTTACTAATGAAAAAAACTCAAAATTTTGTTTTTATTGTAATGATTGATTTTTTCACTTGAAAAACGCTAATACTTTAGGCTTGAAGAAAAGATCATAATAATATAAATTAATTCTGATAAAAAAATATATGATTTAATTTAAAACTAATTTAATAAAAATATATAATTTTATTCTGATAAAAAAAAATATATAATTTAATTTAGATTTTAAAAAAATTTAATTTGATTTTATTTTTAAAAATATATTTAAGTTTATTAAAATAAAAGTCAATGCTAATTTAACTGTCAAATTTATTTTAAAATGTTACTAAAAATATTTTACTCGAAATTAAATTTTAAATAAACAGCTGCAAAAATTTGCACAAAATAGAAGTTTTTTTTTTTAATAATGATAAATACAGTGATATAATTTTAACAAATAATTGAAAAAATAAATAAAACAAAATCGTAAATAAAATAATAAAATTTTAATATAGTAAATTAACCTAATTTTTTTATTTGTTACTCTCTAATTTTTTTTTAATAAAAAATCATTTGTAGTTGCAAAGCCCCAATTAGAAATTTAAGAAATAATCATTTAAAAATTCAAAAATTTAACATTTTAATTCATTTATGCAAGTATCAAGAAAAAAAAGAAATTCCTTAATATAAAATATTTTTAAAAATGTAATATTAAATTTTATTAACTAATATTAAAACAAATAACAAAAGATAAACATTCCCTTATAGTAATAATAAAAAAGAAGTTAAATAATATTTAACTTATTTTGCAGTAATTTAAAAAAGTTAGTTTTTAAAAAATAAAAAAATAAAGCGAATTTTATGACGCAAAATTCACATTATCATAAAATAGGTAGTAAAATGTAGAATGTAAAATTTAGTTTTAAATGATTATAATTTTGTAATATTTATTAAAGAAGAAAGTCAAAATATAAAAAACCTAAAAAACCAAGTCTCTACATCATAGATTAAAATGTGTGAAAGCAACTAAAAAACTTTTTTTTGTTTTAAGAAGTGTTTTTCTTTACCAGAATTCTTTTCACAAATAGATTTGAAATTTTTGTTTCTTTTAATTTAATATTATGTGAAGTCTTAGTGACATAAGTCTTATTTATGAACATAAATTACGTTTACAAATACTTTTACTGGTAACTGATAAAATCTATCTATAAATTCTTTATTAAAAATAGTCTATTAAATATGTAAAATATAGATAAATTGTGTTAAAGCATATAAACTTATTATGTCGTGTATATAAAAGTTTTATGAAAAAATTTATAAGGAAATATAATCTTTTTTAAATATTAGATTTCATCAAAATTTTTGTTATAGTTATATTATTAAAAGAATTTTTAAAGTTGTTTAAAATTTAATTACAATGAGGTACTCTAACTTTTAACAATATAAATATCAAAGCTGAGTTAAGTTACATTTATTAATGATATTTTTTGTGCAACAAAATCTTGTAACAATACCTCTACCTATAAAGAGTATTTTATTGAGAACCATAACCTAACCCTGACTCTATGGGCTAGGGCCAGGTTTATGTACACACATCCGCCAAAATAACTATAATCCAAAAATAAGGACAATAAAAAAAGTAAAAAAATTACTGAACCCATAAAAGCACTTAAGCATTTTATAGCACATAATACCTAGAAAACATAGAGTTCAGTTTACAAATTATTTATTAACCAATAGCTGGAGAAACTTGTTATCTCTTAGAATGACTGGTAAAAATATTTTTAGTCTGTATGGTTTTTCAACATTGTGTAATATTATAACATAAATCATGACTTGATACTAATATTCATTTTTCTATTAAAAAGTATTTTCGAAAACAAAAATTTTAAATTTATTTATAATCAGCTAATTGCTACCTTATTTCTTGGTTTGGGCAGAAGACCTGTTAATTCTTTATATTCGTGAAGAGCCTAAAAATAAGATTATTGAAGTTATAAATACATGATGTTTTAGCATGATACAAAAAAGTTCACACAGAAAATTTAAACGCAAAATGTGGAACGGTTGTTAAAATATTGCAATTTTAATACTGACCTAAAATGACCCAGTTTTCATGATGGTTTTAAAAAATGTTTTCTTTAACAAAATGAGAATGAAATAAAATTTAGAAATAAGCATTTAAAATGCTTTTTTAATGCAGAATTTAAAAAGTGCCCTTAAAATGCTGAAATTAGAAGAGATTGCTTAAAAATTAGGAAAATCAACTTACATTGCTCAACTTTGGGAAATCAACTTACATTGCTCAACTTTGAGGTCTAATATCTCAAAAAACCAGTTTAAAAACTTTTTTTTTTTGCTTAAAATATTTTAAGTTTCTTATAATTTTACTTTGCCATAAAAAATCTAACCAGAAAAACAACAGAAACACACGGAACTATAAATTTAAAGCAATACCACTTTTTCCATTAACTATTAAAAAAAAACATGCAAATAGAGTTCTGATTAAGTGTTAAATTTGGTTTATAGACTACAAGAAGAAAATGTTATATTTGAAGGAGTCTTACATATTTAAATTATTAAATGACAATTATCTTAACAATCGTAGAGCTCCAATTGCGACTGCAATTAGCAATTGCTTTTTACACCTTCAGAATTAGTTTTTTCTTAATAAAAATAACTTTTTTTTTCCCGTTATTTTTTTTCTTTTCTAATTTAGCAATTTTTTCGACCATTCTAAAAAATATGTTTTTGTCTGAGATTTTTATTATTATTTTAAATATAACTTTTAAAAAAATGTACTATTATTTGCTCTTTTGGGCAAGATTTTCATTCAACATAAAACTATTTTCTATAAATACGCAAGTTGTTTTTAGGACTTTATTTGAAAAAGCAATCTATTTGAACAAGAGAATTTTATTCTTATTTAAATAATCTTGAACTCGAAATTTTGAAAACATTTTGAAAAACTTAAAAGCAATTTTCAACACTTTCTTATTAATAACTATTATAAACTTAATTGAATGAAAACTGCAACAACACTGGTAATACCCAGTGGCATAGCCAGGATAACTCTTGAAAATCAAACATTCATCTAGCTACAGTAACAATACCAGAATTAGAAGATAGTGCAAAAGAGGAAGAAAGTTTTCCTTAAATCGTAAACATTTTAAATAGTTGAATATATTTTTGTAAATGCGCCATTATTTATTGATTCTTGAAAATAATTTAACCATTTAACTACTGCCACTTAAACTTTAACTACTGCCACTTTAACTACCACCACTTTAACTACCACCACTTTAACTGTGCCAACCATTTCCGGTACTGAAAATAAAAAATAATACAGAGCCGGAATAATCCAGCAGTGTTATATACTTTCCTAAAACATTGGTTTTAATAAATTTAACAGAAATTTGTTAATAGTATATTAACTTTATTTAATTTTGATGATGATGCTAAGTTCAGAAAAATATTTAAGATAATATAATTATCTATTAATGTGAGTACAATTAAGTACCACGACTTTAAAATATTAGGTCTATAATAAAAACTGTAGTAAAATAAACCTCAGGGAGACTTGAACTCCACTATTTCCAAACACTAGTGCAACGCCTTACATACATAGCTGATAAAATATAGTATTTATAATTAAAACTTTAACATTGTTTGTGTTAATATATAACTAATTTTATATACCTTTAAATTATATATATTTTGTAGAACTTATTTTAGAACCAAAACGATATTTTTTAGTGTTAAAATTTTTATAGTATTGCTCTTTTTAAGGCTGAAATATTAACTACAGCAAAAAAAAGGATTAACTGAAAAACTTGAATGGTTTTAATAATTGTGCCATTTTTGGTAGTTTTATTTTATTTAAATATTAAAAGAGTAAAATTAAAAACTAAGTTCTAAAAAATTTAAATTTAAAAAAACTTATGTTCAAAATATTTTTTTTTTTTTCTTTTAAATTTAAGCATATATTTAGACTTAAGGAAATAAAATTCGACTTATTAAAATGAATTTTTTCTCTAGCTTTATTTTTTTGCAAAATAATTTGACAAAAAATTGAATGAACACATCATCTTAAAAATACTTTGAATGAAAAAAATTAGTTATTCTTAAACTTTTAATAGTATGCAAGATCAAGAAACAATAAATTAGAAAGATTGTGATATCTAATACGTTTAGTTTTTTTTACATTATTTTAGCAAAAACATACTCTATTAATAAGTCTATACATAGAGTATGTTTTTGCTAAAATATTAAATTTAAAGTTTCATGACATTAAATTTATGAAAATTTTGTACAGTTGCCTCGTCTTCTCGAGGGCATTTTAAGACAAACAAGTGTTCATCTTCGATCTTCATAACATAATTTACTGATTAAAGGTATTAATTTAGTGGCATGATGTAGTAGTCTTTCTAAAATGGCAATATTTCATTCTTGAAAAAAAAGCCCATACTGGTATAGCGAACTTAATAAGTGGTCAAATAAAAGAAAGATTATAATTAATAATTAATACAAGAGATTTTAACAGTTCTGCATCAAATAAAATAAATTATTTCCTTATTATGCCCAAAATGCAATTTGCTTTGTTTGCATATGATAATACTTGATTTTTGCACTTCAAGTTATCTAAAAAAATTATTCCTAGGTCCCTTTCTGAATCTGAAATTACTCCTTTCTGAATCTGATGTATTGAGTTTATTACTTATATAAATATATTTTTATATCCATAAACTAAACATTTGTCAATATTAAAACTAAGAAATTAATCTTGTGTTCATGCATATGCAAAGTTTAAATGGCGCTGTAGTTTGTTATGTAACTCATGTAAGAAACTGATTGACATGATTTTTGTGTCATCAGCATACAATTTGGAAATATTTTTCAGAGACTCAGGAAAATCATTTACATAAGATATAAAAAGAAATGGACACAATACGAAGTCTTGAGGAACTCCTCTGTATACATCTCAGTAAAAAGATCTCCCATAACAACTCTCTGCCTTCTATTAGATAATAAAATGCACTGAAAAAAACAGAGTAATCTTAAACTAAAATAAAAAATAAACAAACCATGAATTAAAAAAAAATAATAAAAGTGTATAAAAAAAATAAATACTAAACTAGAAAAATAAAAATTTTAACAAAGGATATAATAAATATAAGATAAACCAGTAAAAATATAGGCTTATGCCTTTATTATTTTATGCCTTAGTTATTTTATTTATTTTATAGTTTGTTAAAATTTTTATTTTTCTTAAATAATTATATTTGTTTTAATTTAAAAGTGTTTCGTTTCATACAATTTAGAATAGATATTCACAGCATATTCTAGGTGTGGATATACATTAGTTGTACAGATTTTTTTATAGACTATCAAGTCTTTGATAACAAAGGTGTGCTTAAACATACCTAAGATTTTATTAGCCTTAGCAGAAGCAGTAAAACCTTGATTATTGTACTTCAGATTGTTATTAGTGATGAGATAGATATGATGGACAGATTTGGATTGGTTGATATCCATAACTTTATATTTTTTGATATAAAGTTGCATGAGCCATATTTGGGTCCAATTGATAATGTTATGGATATCAGCTCGCAGAAGTTTGCTTTCTAAAGTGTTAACTACACTGAGGAACTTTGTGTGATCTGTATACATTTTGCAATTATTTTTACTGCAAATGTGTTCTGGTAAACCCTTTATATAGACTATAAATATCACTATCTATTACTTACCAGACATAATATCTAATTGTGAAAACTTGGCCATAGCTTTTAGATGTTTTAATAACATTTCAAAAATGCGTAAAAAAAGCTTAACTTGACTGACTGAAGACAATTACAAAAAAACTTAACTAAAGAAGAATAAATTCTAACTAAAACACAATAAACTACATTTACAATTAATAATTTCTAAACTAATATTCTAGATAGATATCTTGTGACAAATAAGATTTTAAATAAAAATATTAAAAACAAAAAAAAATTGCACAGGGGTAACTTGAGATATTGGACCCCAAATATTAAATAAGTAATCTTATAAATGATCAACCTTTCATCTTTTTGTTTTAATTTTTATATAAAAGTATACAACAAATGAAAATGCAGAGTGTACTTGAAATGCCAAGTGAAGTTGTGAAGATCTGTCAAATTTTGCATAATCTGTTACAAGATATTCTGGATTCTTTATTGATTCCCTGAGACTTTTCTATTAAAAAAATATATATACATTAACATAAAAAGACTTAATGTTTCCAATCACATTATTAAATTAGCAAATGTTAGGAAGTACTTACAAAATTTACTGTTACAGGCATTTTCACTTGAGAAACAATACCACCACGTTCGTAAGGTGATAAATGTGTAGTATCACCAATACTAAATGTATAAGGGCCAAGAATTTTGATCTTAAGTGGAACACAACCATTTAACTCTGTCATGCCTTCAACCTCAGTAAAAGTTACATAATCACCATCTTCAAAACCATGTCTTGTTTCTTCTAAACAAGTAACCACTCCTTCAGAATCTTTTGTTATAGATGCAATCATATTGCTAATCACTTGTTCGCCATTATTGTCAGTAACAATAAAATTGTTGCCGAAATCACAAAACAAAACACTAAAGAAATAATTTTTTTTATTTTCAATCAATGTGTATAGACATATACATAATCTTATATATGTGTGTGTGTATATATATGTGTGTGTATATATATATATATGTGTATGTGTATATATATATGTGTGTGTGTGTGTGTGTGTATATATATATATATATATATGTATATATATATATATATATATATATATATATATATATATATATATATATATATATATATATATATATATATGTATATATATATATGTATATATATGTATACATACATATATATATATATATATATATATATATATATATATATATATATATGTATATATATGTATACATACATCCTTATTTGACATAAGCATAAACATATAAATGTTTAGAGTTCGCTCTATATCTGGAAGTCACTTCAAACTTCAAAAAAAGCTGCATATATATATATATATATATATATATATACACACACACACACACACACACACACATATCCATTTTATTTCTTTTTTTAATTTTGTTATTTAAGTACCCCAAGAAGACCTATTAGTCTTGTCACAGACCACCGCGGAAGTGCATTTAAACAGGAAGTTCCCTTACCATAACGCGAAAATATTTCCAGAACTAGTTTCGCACCGGGATCTCCTGCTGATAAAGCAAGCTCTCTAACCATTGCGCCACGGCTGCACATATGGCGTGTACCACAGCGAAAAAGGTAAAAGTAGTCAATTTTTAATATTTTTTGTTAATTTTTAATAGATAAGTATTTAAGTAGCATCATAAAAGTTTATTAAAAGTATTTTTTAATATTAGTTATTATTTTAATAATAAAGCTACTTATTAAATATGTTTTAATGGTTCTGAAAGTCATTGTACTTCATAATGTCATATAATAAAAACTGCATCATTATAAAGCGTTCTTTTTGCTGTGAATTTAATTGCATAATCTAAATTATTTTATTCTGAAAATGGAGCTGGCATCTTCAAGTTATCATTGGTCAAATATTTTACTTTTTTTATAAAGAAAATTTCAAAAAATTAACAAAAGAACTTTTGCAATCTTCATATAACATAAGTTTTAAAATACAAAATAAAGTTATGTTTTCCAAAAGCTTTGTCAAAAAACTTAAATTTTTTAATAAATATATGCAAGCCTTCTCTGGAGACGCAGGCAGTTTTTTTGTCATATATGTCCACGTAAAAGTATTTTATTTTAGACAACTTGGTTACGGCCATTTGCAAGTTCTAAAAAATCTTTCAGTTGTATGTTTTTGAATGATACACATCTCTTCGCATTCAAATTTCTAATACCATTTAAGCCTTTCAGTGTTTTTTCTAAGAAAGGCATGCACACATATATACATAGTTTTTAAGCTTCAATTATGCCATACTGTCTACACATTTTTTATATTGCCCTAATTGTTTCATGTTACTTTTTTATTCTTATATGTTTTTTATCCCCTATCTTTTAGCACTTTATAATTTTAGATACCTGTTGCTTTTTAACATTCAGCTCAGTGGGCTTAGTTCACCACCCCCTCCCTTTTGGTATATTATTTTATTGGTGAAATATACTTAAACAATTATTATTTATTATTATTGATTGCATAACAATTAATATATTTTTTATACAAAGCAAATATATGATCAGTGGTACTCAAAAGAAAAACTATAAAAAAAACTGGGTAGTGGTGGAATTCAAACCACAAACATATGGTGTGTGATGTAATGCCTTATCCAAATAAGCTAAATATGTGTTTACTAATGAACAAATAAAAATAATTATGTAATTAAAAAAGTTATACATAAAAATATACACATGCATTACATAGATGTATTCATATAAAGACAATATATACTTGTTTCATAAAAATTATACAAATATATTTTACAAACAGATAGCAATTTATATTATCGCTTTCTTCTTTAAAAAAAAACAAACAAATAAAACATAGGAAATTCATTGTTTTTAATGACTTAAAAAAAAAATTTTTTTTTTTTGGTCTTGTTTTATCCAACTTTGTTGCTGAAAATATAAACCACCCTAAAGTAAAAAAACTAAAGTAAAGAAACTAAAATAAAAACAGCATACAAATTATTTAAATTTTTTTCTATTTAAATTTATTTTAATTTCCTATTCTGTTAGTTTTGCTTTCTTTGTTTTTGAAACTTAGTTTCAAAAACAAAGAAAGCAAAGTTTTCGCAAAGTATTGAAATGTCTAATATAATAGAACTTGCAAATGACTATGACCAAGTTGTCTAAAATAAAATACTTGTGCAGGGACATTCAAGACGAAATACCACATGCATTTCCTGGAAAGGTTTGATGTGTGTGCTGATATTAAATATTGTGTTTTTTCATTAAAGTTTTGAATATAAACATATTTAATAAAATTCAAATTTTAATCTTGAATTTGCGTAATGTAAGTTAAAACTTAGCAAATTAACAAAAAAAGTTTTGGCATTTTTTTTTAAATGTTTTTATCATTTACACAATGAAAAAACTATATTTAAAATTTGCTTTTACTATTTGAGAAAAAACTGTTTTAAAATGGAATTTATTTTTTGAATGGAATTTCGATTGCATGCTTTTATTTAAGGCAATTTAAATAAATAACACTATTGAAACTACATTACTGTTTAAATAACGTAAATTGTATTTTAAAGAACATTCTTTAGAAAAAAAGAAATACATTTTTTTAGGCTCCTAGAGTTGTACATCTAAAAATGAACAACCAACCTCGATCTGGCCTTGCAAATTGACTAAAATTACCACATACACCATAATTAAGAAAAACAGATGACATTAAATATGAAGAAACAAACACCCTTTTGCTAATTACGATGTGTGAAAGTCTCACATGGTTTAACTAAACTTCTAATGACCTAATATGGTCTGGCTACTTTTTTATCACCCACAAGCAATAAACTGATTTTTTTTTAAGTGATCAGTTCACCAACTTTTTTAGCTGCAGAGATATAAATTAATTAGTCAAAATCTTCCATAACAATCGCATGGCAATGTAACATAAGTTAAATATAAAGTGTAAAAATAACACATTTATTTTACCCAAAATATTCCTTTTTACTTAACTTTTTTGTTTTTTTTAAATGCATACAGTCACACACCTTTTCCATTCACGTTTAAAATAAATTATTTAGGCACACTGACCAAGGCAGTTTGCATCTTTTAACTTTTAAAGGGTTTCAATAATCCATGGCAAAAAGCTAAATTTATCTACTGAGAAAAAGAAAACAAAACTAAAAAAAGGAAACAATTGTAACAATATATCAAATTTTAATTAAATAAACTAGAAAAATTTAATAACTTAAAAAAAAAATTTTAACATTTTCTATAAAAATTTTATACAACTTTTTGTTAGGGTGGTTGTTATTTTTAGCTACCGAATTTGATATAAGATGAAGAAAAAAACATAATCTATAACTATTTTACAATTGAAAGTTTTGATATGCAATTTATTCTTGATTTTTATCAATCCGTATATTAAGAAACTAATTTCCTATAAACGCTAGAACTATAAGAAATAATTTTTCATTTTTAAAAATGTTTTTTCTATGTTTTAAGCTTTTTCTATTTGACATATATTATTATAACTATTAAATTATGTTTATTATATTATATTTGATGTTTTTTATATTATAAATATTAAACATGATGATGAGTTACAACATTATTTTGATTTGAAAAAGCGTTTAAAGAATTTCTAGCAGACCCCAATATCGAGGTTTTGCTTTAAATGATGTTTTTATGCATCATGCAAAATTTATATCATACTTTTCAACAGTGTCTTCATTGTTAACTTGTATAACCTCTTTACCAAGTAAATCGTATTTCCATACTGATTAAACAGTTTTTAACAATTTAATTATAGGTTGAAAACTTGTTTCTCCTCTCACATTTAATTCTAATCTGATCCCTTCCTATTATGTTGTAATGAAATTAATAAATTTTGTAATGATGGAAGAAATTAAATTAAAAATAGAATTGTTTCTTTTATTTATTTTATTTATTTATTTTTATTTATTTATTAATAGCATTAATACAGCAAGTGGGATTTACGCACTGAAACAGCCATTCACAACAGCCATTCACAAAAATAAGTTGCTTAAATTATCGTTCTTTTGTTGATACTTGTTGAGATTGTTTTTGAACTCATTAAAGTTATGAGAATCGACTACTTTATCCAGTAGTTCATTCCAAGCAATTGCTGCTCGATTAAGGATATAGTTTTGACTGGAAGCACTTTTAGTAAATTCAGCTCTGTATCTAAAGCTGTGTCAGCGTGTCTTAATTTGAATATTTTGTATGAATATTTGCTCTAAGAAGTTATATCCAAGTAAAGTTAGATTTATATTATCTATTTTATTGATGATTTTAAAAATTTGTATCAAATCACCTCTTAATCGCCGAATTAAAAGTGTTGTTAGATTTAAACTCATGAGTCTTACTTCATATGTCATCTTTTTAATAGAGGGAATTAGCTTAGTTGCTTGCCTCTGTAATTGTTTTAATAGAGACATATTTCCTTTAAGGTAAGGAGACTATACAGTGATACCGTATTCAAGATGTGGACAGACAAGTGTAGTGTAGAGAACTTTAAACATCTCTTTATCAATATAACTAAAAGTGCGTTTTAGCAAGAGCTTGATTTTCTTTAGATGCAGAGCAAATTGCGTGTTGTTTCCACTTAAGATTAGCAGAGAAACTGATACCTAGATCTTTCTCATACATAGACTTTTCTAAAGTTATTATATTGTCATTGTTCAAATCAGGTATGAAGTAATCGTGCTTTGGATTGTTTTTCCCTATATGCATAACATGACACTTTTTACTGTTAAACTTGATCAGCCATTTTTTTGACCAATCAAATGCCTTGATAAGATTATCTTGAAAAGCTGGTATAGAATTGTTGTTGTATATTTGATTGATGATTTTAGTATCATCAGCAAACAATTTAGATAAGTTAGTTAAGTTTTTTGGTAAGTCATTGATA